CAGTGCTGTATCATCTGCGAAAAGACCGATGTTGTTGGTTGTCTCTCTTACAACATCATACGTGAAGATGTTGTAGAGAGTTGGTGAAAGCACTGCTCCTTGTGGCACTCCGAATTTGATTACCTTGATTTCTGAGAACTGACCTTTAATAAAAACTGCGAAAGATCTTTCACTGAGGAAAGATCTTACAGTTTTTATAAGTGGCAGTGGAAATCTCAGTTTGAGCATTTTGTACAAGAGTCCGTTATGCCAGACTCTGTCAAATGCTTTTTCTACATCCAGGAAGATCATGCCTGTTGACTTTTTGTTGTTTAAGTTTTCTTTTGCTGATTTGATCACTTTGATGAGCTGGTGAGATGTTGATCTTCCAGTCCGGAAGCCGCACTGCTGGTTTGGGATGATGTTGTTATCCTCAAGATGATCGTTGATTCTATTCAGTAATACTCTCTCCAGTATTTTGCTTATTGAGCTGAGTAGACTTATTGGCCTGTAGCTGCTTAGCTCATTTGCTGGTTTTCCAGGTTTTGGAATAGGAATCACTTTTGCATGTTTCCAAACTTTGGGGAAGTGGTTGAGTTTCAGACACGAGTTGATGATGAATTTCAAGTATTCGAAACCTTTTTCAGGAAGATTTTTGATGAGTATGTTGTTGACTTCATCTAGTCCCGGAGCTTTTGGATTTTTCAGATTTCTTATGATGCTCACGATTTCGTTTACATCTGTTAGTTCTGGATTCTCATCATTGTCTTGTTCCAATGCTTCTTTGACTGTGTTGTTTACTTCCTGTGTATGTTGTGGATCGTTTTGTTCCAGAGGATTTTCGTGAGCTTCACGAAAATACTCGCTGAGTGCGCTGGCTTTTTCTTTGTTGGTGATGAACGTTTTACCCAGATTTGTCAATGGAGGCATTGTTTTTGAACCTTTTTTGCAAAATTTTGCTATTCTCCAAACTGTTTGGTTTGACGGTTGAATCTCTGAGAGACGCTTATTCCAGTTTTTGTTTTTGAGTTCTTTAATTTTCTCATTGATGACTCTCTGCAGATAATTCAATTCAGATTTGAGTTGATTATCTCTGCTTCTCTGCCATCTTCGACGAAGACTCCTTTTTGTGTTGATTAGATCTTTAATCTCCGGTGTGAGTTTAGTTGATTCGAACTTGATCTTTTTCATTTTTACACTTGAGTTCCTCGCTTCCATGATGAGTTCAGAGAGAATCTTAATGTGATTCTCGATCTCATCTGTTGTATTGCAAGAATTTTCTCCAATGTTGTCTTCAATGCGGCGTGAAATTTGTGCTTTGAACTTTTTCCAGTTTGCGTTTTTGTAGTCATATCTGTAGACTGTATTTTCAGTTCTGTCGATTTTTGATGTTTTGATTTGGAAATACACAGCGCAGTGATCACTCATTGCCTCTGTGCATTGAAGTTCTGTTGTTTCGAGGTTGGAATTCGAGAGCATCAGGTCAATTGTTGACACTGATTTGTTTCGATCTTCTGGGTAGTACGTTGGCGAGTCAGGAAAGTAGATCATGAACTCTCCTGACATTTCCTGAAGAATATTTCCTGATTTATTTGCAACGTTGCAGTTCCATTCTCGATGTTTTGCATTGAAGTCTCCACAGATGTAGTAATTTCCTCTCAGATTTGTTATTTTGTTGATGTCATCTCTCAGATGTAGATCTATTTCCCCTCCTTTGCTTCCTCCTGGGAGATAGACAGAGAGGATGTGACAACTATCCGTGTCATTGATGAAGACTTTGATTCCAATGCATTCCATTAGTTTTGTGTTGTAGCTTGGTTGAAGTTGATGTTTTAGATTTCTTTTGACGATGATTGCAACACCACCCTTTGGTCTATCCACGCGATCCAATCGATGAATTACGTAGTCTGGATGCGAGTCAATTTTTGAGTTTGGTTTTAGGAATGTTTCTGAGATGCAAGCAACGTCGACGTTTTGCTTGCTTAGGTAGTCGAGAAATGCTAACATTTTGTCAGTGAGGCCGTTAGCATTCCAGTAGAGGACGTTGATACTTTGTTGTCTACAATCCATTATTGTATGCGGTGTTTTTGGCGTTTGAGCCGATTGCTTGGAGTATTTCGTCGATGAACTCTGGATTTTTGGCGATTAATTTGAGAAGCTCGCTGATAAGGTACTTGCACTTTGATTCCTCTATTTCTGAGATGTTTTTATCTCTTGTGCTGGTGCTTTGAGCTTGTTGATTAGTTGTTATGTTTCGATTCACTACCTCAACACTGAATGAAGGTTCTGGGAAGACTTCATTCAAGGTCTGACTTGTTGCACTGATGTCTTCTGAGTCCATAAGCTCAACATCTTGCTTTGGTTTTTGATGTTGATTGTTATTAATGCGCTCGTTTTGCTTTTTTCTTTGATTTTTTTTCCAATGTTTTCCTCTTTCTTTATTGTTTTGTTGGTTGTTCAAGTTATTTTTATTTCCCTGATTTGAGGGTTTGTGATTTGGAGGAGGATTTGTGTTCCTTGGTTTGTGGTTGACTGGAACTTGTTTTTGATGAACAGGCTTTTGTGTACCAGATGTTGATGGTTCCATATACTCCTTTCTCCATTGAGGTTTTGGTGCATGTTGGACGTTTCTGGTTGATCTCTCAGGACGATGCGGTGTTGGAGGATTGTTTCTCCGTTGTCCATATGAATAATGACCTGCTGTTTTGTTTTGATTTTGGTTGTTTCCATTCTGTGATTTTGATTTCCATTTTTCAATTATTTCTTGTCTGGCTTTACAACCTGTGAAAATTGCTGTATGTTTTTCACCGCAGAAGAAACATTTGAGTTTTCCGAGTGGAACCTTGTTGGTCTCTTTCGATATGTACTGGCACGTTTTCGAGTCATGTTGCTCAGAGCATCTGAAGCAAACGGACGGTTTGTTACAACCGTTTTGTCCATGACCAAACTGCAGACATTTCGAACATTGAGATGGTCCAGCTTGTCTATTTTTGTAGTCAGCCCATTTAATTTTGAAACTGCTGACAATTTTGATTTTTCTGAGGAATTCCAGGAAATTTCCACCTTGTTCTACATCTTTTTTGAAGTACACGAGGTAGTTCTGGTCGTCGTCTTGTTCGTGTCTTTTGTGTTTCATTGTCATTTTGACAATTTTTACTGGTGTGATTTTTACGGTTTGAAGTTCCTTCTCCAACTCACTGATTTCCATATCTGGGAGTCCATAGAGTACGTACTTCTTCAGTGGTTCTTGGATGGAGTATGTGTGGAAGTGATGCTTTTTGTCTTTGAGTAGTTGGATGAATTTCTCGTAGTAATCCCAACTCTCCGTTGTTACCGTTTTTGTTCCTTGTTTGCCCTTTTTGGTCTCAATTAAGAAACTTCCAGGTTGATTGTTTATTTCATTCGTCAATCTCTTGATTTCACCAGCTCCTCCTGTGCTGATGACAATTGGAGGTGGTTTTGATTTTTGTTGAGATTTGTTGTTGTTGCTTTCCGTGTTTACGGAAATTGTCTTTTGTTGCTCTGATGTTTTGCTGTTTTCTCCCCAGTACGAAGAAGTTGTCGATCTCTTTTTCTCCTGTTCTGGTGAACCAAATAGATACGGTACTCCAGAAGACGAAGCTTTCTTCACTGGTGGGAGTACGAACAGTGGTTTGTTCCCATCTTTTGGTTTGCTTTCGTTTGCTACTCTTTTTAAAAGAGCGTTGGGAACTATCACTTCTCGAGGGCGTTTTTCTGCTTTACTTGTTTCATTGAGAAACTTCTTTATTGATATTTGTTTTTTTGCTTTGAGATTTGTCATCTCAATGTCGGCTGCTTGTGAAACATCTTCACTGAAAATTTCCTCAATATTGAGAATTGTCACTGAAGATGAATGTTGTTGTTGAGAACTATTAAGTCCATGCTGATTTTGAGAAAGATTTTCTTCGTTGTTGGTAGTTTTTGGTGATGCTACCATTTTGATGTTTTGAGAATCAAACTGAGATTTTGAAACTTTTTGCAAACAAAAAGCTTCTCAGGTAGTCTCTGTTTTGTTTCTTTTGAGATTTTTGAATAATTTGCGGAGCGATTTGTAAACACGTCTGTTCACGCCTTTCACAAAACTATTTCGTCTTTTTTTTCGCTGAATTTGTGATTCAATGAACGTAGGAGATTTACTGTTTTTTGTTGTTGTTGGTCTTATTGCTGAGCAGAAAGGAACCAGCCAGTAGCAAATAAAAATAATCAAGGAAAAAGCTGAGATGAATTATAACGTGGCGAGAATAATGACAGAAAAGTAAATAAATATATATTAATTCATGTTTGGGGACACAATAGACAAAAATTTTGTTTGTTGTTTAATATTTCGGGTAAATATTTATTTTTGATAAATTTTGTTGAAAACTTTATTTATTGTTGAATGAGAGACTAAACTGTGGACTTTATTGTATATTGAAATAAAATATTATATGATAATAGGTGTAATGTATAGCTATTAAGTTTCAAAAATGAAATAATAGGACTTTGTATTTCAATTAAAATTTTATTTGTTAATTATTTTGTCATAATTTTAGCCGCACTATGAATAAACTATGAATTAAAACGTTTTGTGGAATTTTAGGTTATGAATTTTTGTTTTTTTTTAAATATTTTATGACCGTTATTTATCTAAACATTTTTTAATCATTAATTTTCAAATATTCTTTAGTCGTTTAATTTCAAATAATTTTAATGCGGTAATTTTCAAATATTTTTTGACTGTTATTTTCAAAATGTTCATAACCGTTATTTTTTAAATTTTTTATGCCCGGTATTTTTTTCAATTTTTTCTTAAATTTTGCTATGATTATTTAAGTTCAAGTCCCTAATAATCAATAAAACCTCTCTAAAAATTCAGTTGAAAATTAAAGCCACAAGAGCAATCTTTAAGTAACAAGACTCGACAGGCACAAATCCATTTCCTGTAGACAAAAGACGATAAAATGGCAGACGACACAAGAAAAGAAGAAAATTTTCCCACGACAAAAATAAATTTTGCACAATGGATATAAAGCGTCGAGGACATAGCAGCAAAAAAAAAAGAGAATTTATGTCTATACTTATCCTTGAATATTTCTTTATTATTTCTTACAGTAACTCTATCAACATTGATCTTGAAAACATGGCAATTTAATTTTTTGCATATCAATTACTTCCAGTGACACTTGTAGACCATTGACATCGACACAGTGACAAAAGCCTCGTCGACATGCAACTTTTCTGTAATTTCCATTTGGACAGCATTCAGGAAGTTCTAAATAATTGTTATCCATCAGCAACTGTCGAGCACGTGCACATTTACAATTCATGTTTTGAGCATCGTAGCTGTTTTTCTCAACAACAAAATCCTCGATTCTATTGCCGCGTTGGTCGACACAAAAAGTCAATAAATCATCTATTTGGACGGATTTGAATGAGCCGTCTGGATCACAAACATCCACATGACTTTCCGCATCAATAAATTCGCCGAGTTTTGATTCCAAAATTGTGTTAATTAAGCGACGTTTTAAAATTTCGCATGGTCGAGCATAATTGAATTCATCGAGGTGTATTTTTTCATCATAACATGGCAAATCACGTAATCCCAATAGTGCTGTTGCTTCATCCCCATTTACATTCATGGTCAAATTTTTTATGTCCGATGTCGGTGATCCCGTACGCTCATCGATGCACAAACATAAATTGTCAAAGCACTGAAGCGGCTCAAATGAGCCATCGGATTTACAGCGCGTAGTAAAAAATGGAAATCTCTGTTTAACTAAGTCCTTTAATTTATCATTCATCCTCGAGCAGCCACAGTGCATGATGTAATCAATATTCCTTTGATGAACGCTATCGCCGAAAATTCTCGTTCCTTTCTCGTTGACACAGAAGCAATTTTGACCTGGAATGCAAATAATCGGATTGTAATTGCCATCGCCATCGCAACTAGGCGGTTGCTGTAAATGTCCAATCAAACCATTCCTCAAGTCGTCATTAAATTTGCGTTTTGCTTGATAACAACGACTTGTTTCGTACATCTTTTCGCATGTTGGATGCTGATTGCCTTTCTTCATTGTACAATACAGTCCATCGCCGCAAATTGAATCGGGCATCGGTGAGCCGGGCATTCCCTTTGAACAATAATCGCCCTCTATAAGGTTCGTTAAACACATTTCACAGCAACCACATGGAGTTTGAGAATTAAAAATGATTCCATTGTGCGTTCGATTTTGTATTTCACATGGCTTTGGTAGACGCTCACAGCCGACTGTTTCTCGGTAGCTCTAAAAATAAAAAGTTTTTTGTTTTATTGAAATTTGGATGTTTTTGATGTAGAATAATCCATTAATTGATTTATTGTGAACAGTCTTTATTTTGGGTGCTGGAGGTTCAACACTTTTTGGAGATTGTTTTGGATTAGTTTAGCACTTTTTTTATGCGAAGTTTTAGAACTCGACAACTTTTTAATATGTCCAACTGTATTACAAGCCTCCCTCCTTCTAGCTACACCCCTGCATGCTATCGAATCTGGCACTGAACTACGATTTGATTAAAACGTCTTTAGATATTTGTGTAACTGCCACAAAGACACATTAAAGAGGATAATTCGGTCCAAATTATTAAGTCTATTGACATTGCAACAATTTTGCATCACTTCTGCAGTAAAGCTCTCATTATGACTCGGAATACAGGAGTGAACCAAATTCTGGGGTATTGGTACGATACAGTAACGCACGGGGCGGTATAGTATAGGTACACTTCTGGTACAGTAAGTGCTACACCCGAAGCTCGATGTCGATAGGGTTTGAGTCGACTAGAGTTAGGGTTACCATCTAATTTTCATGAAAATACAGGACATTTGGTAAATTTTTTCGAAAAAAACAGGACATAGAGTAAAATTCGAAAATTAACGGAAATATTCATGAAAAAAATACAGGACCAAGAACAAAATTTGAAAATTTATACAGGACAGTCTTGAAAAATACAGGACTGTCCGTTGAAAAACTATGCAGATGGTCACCCTACTAGAGTTGACTAGACTCGACTCAAAACCGAGTCGAATTCATTTTCTCAACTCCGAGTCAACTTGAGTCGACTTCGAGCTCTGGCTACACCTGGTTACAGGGGTGTGCCTATTCCATACCTTCCGTGCCTTACTGTTCTGTACCACTACCGGAGAAGCAAGCCCTGCTGAAGTGGATTACTACTGAGAGTTGCGTAGATACTGATAAGTATGGCAGAAATAGTAGCACTTGGCTGGGACGAGGTCATCATTAAGCCACACTCACACTGAATTTGGCATCACCAAGCTTCTTGCCATTTGGGTAACATCTATCATTTATGATGCAAAGGTTGAAGGTTCGTAGAACTTAATTTTTGATCGAAATCATGAAAGAACTAGTTCAAAAACTAATTTTTAATTTAAAGCACATTTTTAAAAAACTTTTAATTAACTGAAAATGCACATCAGCAGTTCAAAGCAGGCCTCAATAGCCTCAACAAATTTAAAACAAAGCCACATCAAACAAAAAATTTACCAAACTTTTTTTTTAAAATTTATTCAACCAAATAAAGTCTCACTGCACGCAGCCTTTTTGAATTTACTCACTTTACAAAAATCTGCAGTACATGCATGCATGTTGAATACAACACAATTTGTGTGTTGAAGCACTATAAATGTAGTCAATAATAAAGCAATTGAGAATTCCATTGGACTGCTTAACAACTGAGCTTATCCACAAAACAATAAAATAATAAAACTACTTTCAACTGTACAGTTATACTCAAATATTGTATTATTTTTTAAACAACTGCAGCTTGGATTGAATTGAAAGAGTTGTAAAGAGAATTGTTTTATCTAATCAGAAATTGAAAAATAAACAATTTTTTTTTTATCGGGTTTTAAACATGCTTTTTGGCAAGTTACTGAAATTTGTCTGTTTTATTGATAACTGCTATTCACTTTATGCATCAGTAAGTTCTGGCTCGTAGTAGATGAAATAGTTTGGTTCCAAAAGCAATTTTGCGCAAACAAGAAAATTTCAATTCTAGATTCTTAACTTATTGAATTTATTAAGTGATGTTATTTATTATTATCTAGGTAGGATGTTTGCTTGATAGACATAATATTAGTTTTTCCTATTTTCTACGGAGATATGATTCACATAGTTAATGGATTAATAAAAAGTCTAGGATGTTCATCATTTCTCAAATATCAAGCTATTCAAACAAACAGATAAACAGGTTTTTAGATACTCAGATACTAAGAGACTATAAAACAGTACAATAGAGCAGTGCTTCCAGCTCGCCGCAATGTGTAGGAATACACCGCTTGGCTGGAACTCTCTCACATTATTAAGAGGCTATGAAACATCAAGACAGCCAGACACCCAAACATCCAATCAGCTACAGATTCAGACAATGAGTCATTTAAATACTCAAGTAGCCAAACTAGGGGTTCTAAAATCGGGAATTTTCCCGGGAATTCCCGGGAACGGGAATCCCGTTCCCGTTCCCGTTTCCCGAAAATCTGTCGGGAATATTCCCGAAATTCCCGTTTTTTTACCAAAAAAAAACGGACAATTCAAATTAGTTTTTTTTTATTTTGTATTTTCCATGAAAAAAACTACAATTTAAAGAAAAAAATTATAATAATGAAAACATACGTTAAGGAATTTAAGAGTTGAAATATTAAACTCAAATTTGAGTGTCCATCAAGTAGAACGGTGACCTAACGAATTGAGTGATGGACTTTATATGGGTTTTTTGTGGTATTTTGTGAAAGCAGAAAAATAACTTTTTTAAATTTTGTGAAGTTGCCAGTTCTGAGATATGAGCATCTGAAAACGTAACTAGAGCCGATTTTTTACTTTTAACACTTTCGACTGTAAATCTGAAAGGCTTAACGAAAATTGTTCAAACTTGGTCAGTAATTTGTGCAAATGTTTCTTAATCAAATAAAATAAATGAAATATTTTTATCTTGCCTAACCGTTCTACTTGATGGACACCAAATTTGATGTTTTTTAAATCAAAAACATATATTTATGAAAAACGAAGAGAAAAAGTATTTAAAAATATTTTTTAAATGTATGATGTCCATAAAATAATAAACTTAATTGACATTGGATTAAAGTAATTTTTCAAAAATAAAAAAACGTGCTGGAAATTAATATTTCTGGAATCCACCAACATCTACAAGAGCTGAACGTAACTTTTCAATCTCCAATAATATTGTCTCAAAAAATCGCACTAGATTGCTAGACCAGTTAAAATCGTACTTTAAGAATTGTTCTAAAACCAAAAAGAATTAAATTTCAAACGGAAATTATTGTCAAAAGAATCAATTTGACAATCAAATCAAATAGAATTTAAATTTAATTTAAAAACCTAAATAAAAAGCTTTTAAAATTTTGAATTATTACTTTATATTTTTGATAATTTTCGAGCTGAATACACCCTTAATTAACGCAAAAATGTGAAATCACAATCAGTCAAAAAAGATCAAATTTCTCAGCAACCTTTGACTTTCAATTTTCTCACAATTTTCTTCAGTTTAATTCTTTAAAGACGTGTTTTTAAATATTGTTGCAAATCGGTGCAAATAAATTGGAACTTGACATTATTAATGCTTAAAAAGAAGTGGAGTTCAAGATAAAAGTGATAGTGAAGTGCTAAAATGGAAGCAACAGTGAAAATAAGCCAAAAGTGATGAAAAAATTAAAAGTGAAGAAAAAAATGAAAAATTTTCTGAGTGAACATTGAAAGTTAAGAAAATTAAATTCAAGAAGCTGTAAAATTGAAGTGAAAATGAGATTGATGAAGCTTGAAGGAACCAGGACACAATTATAGAAGCAAGAGGCTAGTGACAACGAAGAAAAAGCTAAGTATACTAATAAATAGTCCTCAAATTCCTTTTCTTCAATGAAACCAGCCATTTGACTTCCTACAATTGCGTACGTAATGCTTGCAATACGTGAAATGATTACTTAAAAACGCATTGCATTGAGTTTTACATTTCGTCGGCCTTTGCTGATGTAAATTAAGAGTGGGAGTCGTTGAATAGGTCAGAGGGGGGTCGATGCAAGATGAGGAGGGGTAAAACTTGAGGGAGCAAAGTCTTTTGACCCTTTTTTTAAAAAGTTTTTCTGTTCATTCTTTTTTTTTTTTGTAAATCGAGCCTATGAGTCATGTGTTTCTGCCTGTGAGACTTACTATCGTGGCTATTGATTGGTTCATCCTTGATGTAGAGTGGCATCAAGGACATTGATTGCTTGCTCGTAAATGAGACTTGCAATTTTTTGTCTAGATGCCTGTTCTCACACACAGCATTAGACTTACATCAGGTCCAATGACGTATCGTGTAGTTTAATGTGAAAAATGAGCCTCTGATGATTTGGGTTGTAATCAATAGAAGCTTAATTACAAGCGTCTAACCCTAACCTTAAATTGTGGTTCTTTTTAATGCTCAGGTGTGTGGTAAAGAACGTTTTTGCCTCTATCTCGGACTGTTCTGATTCAAAGCCTGAAATGTGAGCAGTAATGGAATGAAAACACGATTGATTCATTTCCTTGGTTGAAATTAAACTTGATATGATTAACTATGAAAGAAGAACCAGAGGGCGAAGCCGAGCTTAGTCGACTATAGTCGACTAAAATCGACTTTAGCCGGTTTTAGTCGACTAAAGAATTAACGGTTTTTTCCTTAGTCGACTATAGTCGACTAAAACCGGCTAAAGTCGACTATAGCCGCGACTAAGATCGACTAAAGAAGGATTTTTTGGCTTGTGAAGTATAAAAATTTCATACAAAATTTCTCTTATTTTTGTCATTCAGGTTCGAATCTCAAAATATTTTTTGACTTTTTTAAACATTCAATTCGTATTATTAAAATTGTTTAAATCAAATATTATTAAATTAAAAAGATTAAAGCTGTAAAACTATATTTTAAGTACTCATTCAAAATATTAGTTTTATTCATTGATGGAGTATTATAAGAAAAATAAAAATGTCATAAAAAGTGTCCTTTTAAAATACGAATGAAATAACATTCTATATTAAGGACTTAAGATCTAGCCAGGATAACAAAAACATATTATTAAGTCATTATTAGTAGATTAATCTCATAATCTAAGTATGAATTAATCATTCTTGTTCAAGGATTCTAATAGGTCTCTATATTATGGTGCAGAAATAATATTCTATGAGCTCGTTCAGGATTTAAGGATGCTCTTTTTTGAGTCATTAATGAGTTTGATATTGAGAAATTACGTTCCGCCTCAGTACTCATAGGTTGAATAGCAAATAAAACTCTTGCTAAACGATACAACATAGGCAAATCATCCTTGTTAAACTATGAATACGTTTTAGAACGTTTGAATGATCATAAGCCGTTCAAAATTTGATTAGATTTCTCGTAAATATTCAAAAAAAAATGTTTGGTTAAATTATGATGCAATTTAATGCTTTAATGTAACTTAAGTCATTTTGAATCGTCAATTGTATTTTTAAAAACAGTTAAAACTTCTACAGTTCTGCATTAAGAGTGTTTTGGGTGCATAATGTGATGTTTTAAAATTTTGCAATTTCGATTTGTTTGCCAACGACAAAAATTTTTGGTAAAAAAGTTCAAATTTTTATCGTTAAAAATAAAAATGAGTTTTGTCAAATAAGATACCAAAATAGATATGAACACGGTTAAACACAAAAAAAATGTTTCAATGTCATGCTTAGATAAATTTCGAAAAAATTAAGCGTCTTTAGCAGTAATTTAATTAAGATTTTTTAGATATCTGCTATGTAAAGCACAATATTTTTAACATGCTTAAAAATTTAATAATTGAATGTTTAAAAAAGTCAAAAAATATTTTGAGATTCGAACCTGAATGACAAAAATAAGAGAATTTTTGTATGAAATTTTTATACTTCACAAGCCAAAAAATCCTTCTTTAGTCGATCTTAGTCGCGGCTTTAGTCGACTTTAGCCGGTTTTAGTCGACTATAGCCGACTAAGGAAAAAACCGTTAATTCTTTAGTCGACTAAAGCCGACTAAGTTTTAGTCGGTTTTAGTCGACTATAGTCGACTAAACTTCACTCGGCTTCGCCCTCTGAGAAGAACCATCAAAAAAATTGCTTTCTCAGTTTAATCCCTCCTTCATCTTGCATCAGCTTCTCTCTTACCTGTCCATCGACTTCCATCTTTAACTTACATCGAGAAAGAGCGAACGGAACATAGTACTTAATGTTATGTGATTTTACTTAATCATTTTACGTAACGTAGGCTTTACGTGAGCCTTTTTGAAAGTTTTTCTGACTAATTTCCAACAGAGAAAGTGAATTTTATATCATGAAACTTTAATTTAAACAGCAAATCTTAATTAAGAATTAAATTTATTTTTATTTTACTAATTCGTTATTAAAATTGCCATTTATTTTAGGTTCTTTAAGGATCAGCACTTATAGCCATCATAAAACATTTCATATGTTGTGTTATTTTCTTCACATTTGAACAATTACTCATCGTTCACACACAAGTAAGCACATAGTATGAATTTTTGATACAAATTGGATTTGTATAGACTTTTTTAACTGACAAACTACAGAAGAATTGTCTTGACGATTTCTTATTGTGTTGACGATGTCTTATTGTCTTGACGATGGTCAATCATAGGGGTTCTAAAATCGGGAATATTCCCGAAATTCCCGTTTTCATACCAAAAAAAAAAACCGACAATTCAAATTAGTTTTTTTTTATTTTGTATTTTCCATGAAAAAAACTACAATTTTAAGAAAAAAATTATAATAATGAAAACATAC